AATTACTGGGGCTTGATGGTTGCCAGGCTAGCTGGGAAAAAAAGTAAGTTCTAGGTTAAGTGGGAGACCCTGTCTCAGGGAACACGGCATGATAGAACAGGACACCCTACGACCTCCTCTGGACTCTGCACGCATGTACGCAGGCATGCACACACATGCCATATACACACACAATTTCAAAAACCTAACTGGTCACATATCCAGTTAGTGTTCAAATTGTCTCACACAGTTTTTTTATAGTACCCCCCGAAAAACCCAGATTCCAAATAAGATCCATACCTTGATTGATTGATGATGCGTTTCTTACATTTCTTAACTAACTTTAAAAAATCTCTTTCCCTTGCAATTCATTTGTTAAACTGAGTTGTTTACCTTCTCTTCATTGGAAAAGAAAAATAGTGAAGTTCCAGATTATTAAGACCACTTAAAATCACAATGAACTACTCTACATTTAAAGATGGTATCCAAGAGATGCTTATTCCGTGTCTCTAAATGTATTTTTCCTCTGTGGTACCTGATGCTACCTCACACATGGTTTCCTTGTTTGTTGTCTGCCTCCCCTTTGGCATGGAGGCTCCACCCAGACAAATGTTTTTGTTTTGTTCTGTGCTGCATCCCAGCCCCTAGACTGGTAAGTGATGACACCAAAAGGCAGAAATGGTGGAGGAGAGCTAGTGACAGAGAGTAAGGAGGAACAAATCTCCACATACTTCACCATTTTGATTTGTTACTTCTTCAGAGATGATTGTAAAGGCTCAGGTGATATGTTGTGCTTGTACCTCAGTGACAGATGGACCTCTCTAGACTGACTTGGTCTCATTGGTTCTCTCACAGGGTCAACCCTATCTAACAGTCATATGCTGATTTGGCCAGTTATATCCACGGAGAATATGTTTGGAATGGGGAGCTGTCCTCAGTATGGGCAATTGTGGGCCTAGGGGGTCCCCCCAGATGCTTTCAAACCTTCAGCAGTCTGGGTTGTGGTCAGACTGTCAAATCCTAAGTGTCCGAAAGAGCTGGACAGTTATTGCTGTTCTCTTCCAGCAGTCTGGCCTCAAACAGTCCCCCCACTGTCACCATGCCATGCTTCCTCATCTAAAAAAATAGGCATGATGCCTTTTCATCTCCATAGGGTTGTTAGGGAACCTTTTATGCTGTTCAGTGACTCTGGGATGTAAGCTTAGGTCCTCCTATCAGCCTGCTCAAGAAAGAAACATCCCATCCACCCCAGGTAAGGTTAGGGTGGCAGAGGTCAGGAGAATAGCCCCAACTAGCAGTAGTGGGGAGGGTCTTGTTGCACCTTGGGGTTCTCTTGCCTTGTGTGGTGAATGGGAACAGCAGTTGCCATTAGACTGTGTTAACTATGTAGGCTGGACGTGCCTCTTCTCCATCCTTGCCTTTAAGGGACTTGGCAAACCCAACAAAGTGAAATGATATAAAACAGGTAAGAGAGACTCCACACTATGCTGGCATGCATCCCAAGGCATTGTCTAAAGAGTGTTGGTTCTGAAGTTCTTGATGTGTATACAGAATACATGTCACTGCAACAATTCTTCATTCCTTGAAGTGCTAGACTGTAAATGTGTACTTTTTTCAGTAAGGTACACAGCATTCTGTGAAGTACTCACACTGGGTAAAGTTCCAGTCTGTCCCTCCCTGGCTGTTCCATCACTCCCACTGATAGCATCTTTTTTTTTTCTTTTTCTTTTTTTGGTCTTTTTGAGACAGGGTCTCCCTGTGGTCCCAGCTGGCCCAGAACTGTAGACCAGGCTGGCCTTGATCTCACAGAAATCCACCTGCCTCTGTCTCCTGAGTGTTGGGAACCAAACGAGCTACCTAAGAACAATTTTATGAATGAACATTAAAGGCGTGTGCCACCATGTCTGGGTAGAGTATATCATGTTCAGTACTCTTGGTACCATGCCAATAGATTTAATTATTTCTTGGCCTTTGTAATATCCAGAAATGACCCCTGGTTTTTTGTTTGTTTTGTTTTATTTTTGTTGGGTTTTTTTTTTTTGTTGTTGTTGTTATTCTATTTTATAGATCTGGGCTATCCAATATGGTAGCTACTAGACAGTCATATATAGTGGTTTATTTAAGTTTAAATGTAAACAAAATTAAATAAAATTCAGGACTGGAGAGCTGGCTCAGTAGTTAAGAGCATGTACTGCTCTTGCAGAGGACTCAAATTTGGTTCCCAACACCCATATTGGACAGCTTATGACCACCTAGCTCCAGGGTGATCGTAGGCCTCCAGCTTCTGTGGGTACCACCTGCACACAGATAGACACACATATACATAATCTTTAAAAAATTAGATAAAAATTGAAATCCAGTCTTAGTTCCATAAGCCACATTTCAGGTGCTCAACAGATACATGGAGCTAGCTAGTGACTACTGTATTAGGCAATGTAGATTATAATCTATATATTCTATAGAATGTAGAGTATAGATCTATGATCTATAGATTATAATCTAAACATCCTATAAAATGTTTCCATCCCAGCAGAAAACTCCATTGCAGAGATTAATGGGCATGGGGGAATGAACATCAGAGTGGTTAGGAGAAAGATGAGTAGCTTATCATGAAAAATAGGTGATTGCAGGTTAGACATTCTTCCAAGTAAATTCTTGTGGACAAGGTTTGAGGCTCCCAGTGTTGTCACTGGAGTACTCTCAGGTATTCAGTCACTCAGTGGTTTTAGCACATCTCCAGGGACCCAGAATGCCTATTACTCAACTCAGGAATGGCTCCTTCCTGCCCCAGTTCCATCCTCTGCTGGGCTGTCCCTGTGGGGAGTTTATGATTAGAAACTTTCATAGTAACTTGTGACTTCTGTGTTAGTGGGTGTGGTAATGACTTTTACCATGTGGACATGCTCTGGACAAAAGACTTTTACCTTGCAACCAAACAGCTAATCATATGTTTTGAGATCATTTAACACCACTTCAGCTTGCTTCTCATGTCAAACAATGTACTAGGCCTTGTGTGGCTTCTTGTAACATAAATCATAGAGCCTTAATCTCTCATGACCCTTCTTTGCCCTTTACCCAGAACAATGTATGATATGCATATCAAGTAAGGAATATTCAACATGGTAATTATTCCATTTGTGTTATAAATGACAGGTGGGATTAAAATAATAACATATTTGTTGTTGTATGTGTATTGTCCTAGGTCAGTAGGGGTCAGAAGGGACAAAATCCCAAGATGAGGGTCCACTTTTCCTTCCCCATTTAATTCTGGATGTACAGTTATAATCAAAGAGGGAGCCCAGTTCTGAGGGAATTCTGAAGGAACAGGTTCTCAGAGCAGTTTGGGTTCCCTCTTGGCTAAGGTGGATACTAAGAGTCAAGCTGTTTTATTCAGGCACAGCTGTAATTTGGCATTGAATGTTACTACCACAAGTGGGTGAGAAAGCACCCATCACTCTTGGTTTGTGTATTAGTCACTTTTCTGTTGCTGTGATAGAAACACTGACCCGAGCAACTTACAGAAGGAAGAGTTTATTTGAGCTTATGGTTCCAGGGGAATTACAGTTTGTCATGGCAGGGAGGCATGGTGGCTGGAGGTGGCTGGACCAGGAGCAGCAGAAGCTAAGCTCTCACATTATCACACAGGCACAGGAAGGAAGAGACCAACCAGAGATCTGCCAAGGCTTAAGAACTCTCTAAGCCCACCCCAAGTGATGTGCTTCCTACAGGATAGCCATACCTTCTAAAACCTCCCAAAACAGTGCCATCATCTGGGGACAAAATGTCCAAACACTTGGAGCCTATGGGAGACATTTTCATTCAAACCACCACAATTTGCCATTTTTCATTGTACCAAAAGAAAAGGGAGGGGGGACACATGGGTTGTTTTGTTTTGGTTTTTTGAGACAGGGTCTTACTATGTAGACCTGCTGTCCTGGACTTCACTATGTAGATCAAGCTGGCCTGGAACTCACAGAGATCCACCTGCCTCTGCCTCCAGAGTAAGGGGATTAAAGATGTGCATCATTATGTCCAGCTTGAGACATTTTTTTCCCCTAGAATGTCTACTGCAAGCTCTTCTGTCTTGTTTGGTGAGGTCTTAGCACAGAGCTAAGACTAGGTAAGGCAAGGGAGGTGAGCCTAGGGCACAGGGGTGCCTCTTGCTAGAATAGATTGAAACATAGCCTTCTACTTTCCACCCTTGGCACCTGGCTTTACTTACCTCCCCCTCCAGGGATGGCTCTTGTAGGGTTCACTCACTCTGGCAAGCTGCATGGGTGTAGGGATTCAGATCTGTGCACATAGAGCCCTTGTTGCGTAGACAGTCTTGTATATGTTAGTACGTACCTACTGTTCTCAGATGGAACCCTCAGGTAGGGACTGCATCTCTGCTTTTTGTACTTGACCTAGAGCAGAAAACAAATGTCTAATGGAACAGACCAGTCCACCAGGGACCAACACAATGAATTAGGGCATCATAACATAGTGACTATAACTAATTAGTATATTTATAAAAATTGCTGAGAGAGTAGATTTTAAGTGCTCTCATCACACACACACACACACACACACACACATACACGGTAATGTATATGTTAGCTTAGTTTTAGATACAATAAATGTGTGTGATTTAGTAATTATATAAATTAATACTTAGGAAATATCTTGACTAAGGCTTTTTCATTGAATCCATGAATGATAGTGGAGTTCTCAGTTTGTGGTGAAGCTGAGGTCCTCGTGGCAGTGTGGCAATGGGCACAAACATGTCCCCCAACTCCCCACTTTCCCTGTCCACAACTCTTATCACTCTCAGCATCTGGTGGGGTTATTCCTAGGAAGCCCAGTCTCCAGGATTGGCTCTTCTTCCTCCCCCCTTTCCTCAGAGTTGGTGTCACGTACAGTTTCTGGACCACAGTGTCCTGGGAGCACATGACTGGGCCTGGGGGTGCTGTGATGTGGGGAAGGCTGAGCATTGGGAGCCCCTTTGCAGACTGTTACATGCTTCTTGTTGCCTCCCACAGAGTGTATTGAAGAAGAGGGACCAAGTTCAAGCAGAGTACGAAGCCAAACTGGAAGCCGTGGCTCTGCGAAAGGAAGATCGTCCCAAGGTCAGGATAGCCATCAGCAGGGCTGAGCTGAAAGCTTCAGTCTCTCTATTAATGCTAATTCTCATCCTTAGATCTGTTGACCTTATAGAAGAGAGTTGAGTGGTAGTTGCTGGGAAGGGGGAAATGGGAGGATGTTGGTCCAAAGACATAAACCTTTAGTTATAAAATGAATGCATTTGGGATCTGATGTACCTCATGGGTATGGATGCTAATTTGATTATGTTAATCATTACAGGGTTTATAGTATATCAAATCATATATTTGAATAAGTACCATCTTTGGCAATTAAGTATTTTTTGAAAACCCAGAAGGCACTATGCTTGGCTAGGCAGGGAAGGCCCACTTGCATGTTCTGCCAGCATTTACACATGCTCAGCACTGGAGACAGGCTTCTTCAGACACTGGTTTGGTCATTTAATATATTCAGCATATCCTGGACATATTCCTTTTCAAAGACAGAAGCTGAGGTTATGAGCAATAGGCCTACTTAAATCTTAACTGTGTCCTGACCTGTTGGCTGCAGGAAGCTCACACCAACCTAGGAGCTGTGTCTGGCAGTGAGAACAGCTGATTTTGGCTCCCCACATTGCCCAGCCTTTCTGGCTTAGTATGGGATCTTCTAGGACTGATTTTTTTCCCCTACCCTATTGGTCCATCCTCTTGGCCACAGGAATTCTTAGAGAGAGGATTTCTTTCCAGCCAAGAAGACTTCACTAACAAGTCCTACACACAACTCCATTCTCTCCACACACTATGTACAGCTATCTTTGTGTCCCTCTTTTTGGTGAGATGGTGAGCCATGCCAAAGTTGATCTTGTTACTTATTTAGCTGTCATTAAATGGGCTGTCATGACAGTGGGTCAGTCAAAATTGTGCATCTGTTTAATCTGGGGCAGCTGTTACCTTAACAGCAGAGGGGAGTTCTCCTGGCAGCCTGTCCTGGTCTGCCATGGTGTGATAGAACATAGGACTTAGGATCAGGGTCCAAAGCCAGTTCTGTTCCCTGGCTTGGGCCAGTTTACTCATTAACCTTTGTGGGCCTCACTGGTCTCATCCATGTCATGGTTCTAACAGTGTGTACATATGTGCTCAGCATGGTGTCTGACTTAATAGCAGACAGCAAGCCTCTGCCCACATAGTGCTGGGCATCTCCAGCAGGAATGCTATAGAGAATTTGGTGCTACCTACATTTTTCCAAAAAGTTTGTGTGTGTGTGTGTGTGTGTGTGTGTGTGTGTACATGCGCATGCACAAACACACCTGTGCACGTATGTGGAGGCCATAGGAGGCCATCTAGTGTCCTGCTCTATTACTTTCTATTTTATTCCCTTGAAACAAGGTCTCTCACTGAACTTGGAACTCACCATTTTGAGTGTGCTGACTGACTAGTGAGCTCCCAAAATCTGCTTGTCTCTCCCTTCTCTCCCCCCACCCCCACCAACACTGGGGTTACAGGCAAGCACAAGCATACCTGGCTTTTATGTCAATGTCAGAGATTTGAACTCAGATCCTTGTGCTCGAAGCACTTGCCGATTGAGCCAGCTGCCCACAATAATCTCTTTCGCCTTTTTGGGACCACAGTGTTTTAGACACATTTCATTGGGTCCTTAAGCTTCCTTCTCTTCCCACCTCCCCCACACACCTCTTCTCTCTGATGGCCCATCAGCATGTAGGCAGACATCTAGAAAATGAACTGAAGCTCCTGTTAATGAGATAAAAGCCATGAAGTGGGCTAGGTTTTATTCTATGCCAAAGACGCAAACACTTTTACTGTTGGTAGTTGGAGTGCAGCGCTCACAGGTCTGAGGCAAGGGATGTGGGAGGGAATGGGGGCTAGGTTTGAGCGTATCACAGAAGGTGAAGTCTTGAAAAAGGTTTCCCAAAGAGTGGGAAATTGATTTTTGTAAGTTGTATTAAAAATAGTCACTTAAAAAAAATCAGTGTGTGGAGCCAGGATGAAGGAGCAAGCCCCTGGCTATGGCTGCTTGGCTAGGAACCCTGTGGTCTGTCCGCATGGGCTGAGGGCAGGACTGATGAGGCTTCTAGAGCTGAGTGAGACATCAGTGTAGTATTTCAAGTTTTGCTTTGGTTTTAGGCTTGAGAAAACTCAGCAGACACTGATCTGGTTTGTTCTCAGGTGGTGAAGCTGTGGCTTGTATAGACTTAGCTTTCCTTGTTCTAATTCCGAGGTTAAGAAATCATAGGCGCGTGTAGTAGAGGCTGCCTTCTGCTGGGTCTGTCAGGTCTAAACTTACATAAGTCTTAGAATTTGACCCTCTTTAGAGGCTCAGGAGCTGTTACTAAAGAAAAGAAGGATATAATTTTGTTTTAAGGCAGAAAGAGGCTATTTTAGGCTCTGAACCCTAAGTGTCCTTGTTGGTATAGTGCCAGGTGAAGAAGCTGTTTAAAATAGTGTTGTGTGTGGTGAGAAGGTGAGTGGGCCTGGCCCGGTGAAGGTGAGCCATGACATACAGATGAGCAGGTATGCTGTGGATGGGAGTGTAGCTGGTGGAGGTGGGCAGGTGGGCAGTGTGGAGACAGACAGAAACACAAAACAAGGTGTACTGAGCTCCTTGGGTTAACCAAGAAAGGGGAAGAGAAGTAGGAATTAGGCTCACATGGACAAACTTCTTAGAATCTGTGTGCCTTTAAACACCCTTATAACCACCAGGAGCTAACATTCAAGAACAGGAAAAATGTGGCAGACTGTTGATACTCTGCTGCATTAGTTACTTCTCTTGTTCCTGTGACAAAATACCTGATAAAGTCAACTTAAGAAAGGAAAGGTTGGGACTGGAGAGATGGCTCAGCAGTTAAGAGCACTGGCTGCTCTTGCAGAGGACCTGGGTTCGATTCCCAGCACACACATGGCTGCTGACAACTATCTATAACTCCAGTTCCAGAGGATCTGACGCCCTCTCTTCTGATCTCTGTGAGCATTGCACTTGCACAACATGGGTTCACTTACATACGTGCAGACAATGCACTCATACACAAAAAATAATAAAATATTTTTTAAAGGGAAAGGTTTCATTGGAAAGTCCATTTTCAAATATAGATTCTGTGACTTCCTGACAACTGTACAACATAGCGAGAGAGGTGCCTCATGGCATTTTTGGCTTATATATCCTTACCCCCTCCCCCACATGCAGCTAAAGTTGACTAATTGAGTGGGAGGGGTAAATGGGGGGCACCCACTCTTCTGTAAATAAACCCCCACCCTATGCTCTGTTAGCAAGCCCAATAAACTCATTAGGATTAAAAAACAAACAAACAAACAAACAAAAAACCCAGAGGTAATGGGAACTGTCATTATTCCAGCAAAATTGACCTCATCTTGGCAAATCCTTTGGTCTTTGATTTCTTATTCATATTCTCCCCCCTTAAAATCCATTGTATATATATTTTTTTATGTAACCTGCTTCAAGTTATTTCTGGAAAAATGTGTTAAAAGTTGCCTCTCTTTGGAATAAAACGAGCAGATATTTGTCTTTTTTAAATATAAATACATGACACAGGCAAAAAAAAAGGAAGGTTTATTTTGATCACCATTTGAGGGTCAAAGGCATGGAGCTCACCCCTTTCCATTCACTGTCCCCCTTTCCCTCACCCTCTGTGACTCCCTCCATCCTGAATTGCCTGGCTGTCCTCTTCCATTTGCCTCCTACTTCTGTGTCTTGCTTTCTTGGTGGTCTTTGCTGAGTCCTTTATTTTATAAATGCAGCTATTCTTCATAGCTCTGCCTCTAGGTTCTGCCCTCTGCTTTGCCTTTCATATATTAAAGATAATAATTATGGTAAAATTTATATAACAATTTGCCATCTTAACCATTTTTAAGCTTACAGTTCATAGGTGTTAAGTATATTTACTCTGTTGTAAGATTAATCTCTAGAGCTTCATCTTGCAGAACGGAAACCCTACGTCCCATCAGACAGTTCCCCACTTCCCCCAAACCCCAGCTCCTGGCAAACTACCATTCTTTTGCTTCTATGCCTTTGACTAATCTAGGTTCCTTATGTAACTGGAATTACACAGTTTGTCATTCTGTGCCTGCTGGTTTCATTTAGCTCAGCATCCCCACAGTCTATCCTACTATAGCATGCATCAGGACTTCCATCCATAAGGCTAAATAAACCCCAGTTGTATGCACATGTCATATTTTGTTTATCCATGTATCTGTCTGTGGACATCCAGGTTGCTCCCACACATCAACTATTGTGAATGATGTTCCTGTGAACATGAGTGTGCAGGTACCTCCTGGAGACCCTGCTTTTAATTGTTTTGGATCCATACCCAGAAGTAGACTCCAGCAGGACCATGAGGTCATTCTACTTTTAACTTTGGAGGGAATGTCTGTGCTATCTCACAAGGTGGCTGTACTGTTTGGCATTCTTATCAGCAGTGCACAGGGGTTCCAGTTTCCCTATGTGATTGCCAACCCTTATTATTTTATTATTTTGATGGTATTTGTCCTGGTTAGCCTTAATTGTCTACTTGACAGCCCAGAGTTATCTGAGAGGAGAAGCCTCAAAGTGAGGAATTTCCTAGATCCCAATTGGTCTGTGGGCATGTCTGTGGGGGGATTGTCTTAATTAACTAATAGAGGAGGGCCTGGCCCATTGTGGGTGGCACCATCCCTAAGCAGGTGGTCCTGGCTTGTATAAGAAAGCTAGCTAGGCATGAGCCTGAGTAAGCCAGCAAGCTGCATTCCTCCATGGATTCTGCTTCAAGCTCCTGCTGTGTTCTTGCCTTGATTTCCCTCAGTTCTAGACAGTGACCTGGAAGTGTGAGCCAGATAAATCTTTTCCTCTCCTAAGTTGCTTTTGGTCAGAGTAGTTTATCACAGCAACAGGAGTCAAATTAGAATAGCACCCATCCCAGTAGGTATAAGGTGGCATCTTTTTGTGATTTTGATTTGTATTTCCCTGATGATCAGTGAGTGATGTGGAGCATTGTTTCACGTGCTTGTCTCATCCTTCCCACAGACACAACACCCCTTCTTGCTTTGGTCTGTAAACCTGTCTTTATCTTGATACATACCCCCTACCCCCTTATCATTGCTACTGGTACCTAGGCTCTCATCTACTTCCCTGTATCTTATTTCTCATGGGCAGTTGGTTGCTAACTCTGTCAATTGTCTCTAATAGGTATTTGACATTGTAACACAATGTCATAGTCAGGAACCATGCAATCAAATTACAAAAAGAAAAACTCACAAGAAATATCTAATGATATTTTAAGTTAGTTTATAATTCTGTTGGGCCATGATTATAGTTATCTTTGGCATGTGGTGGTCCATGGGTAGGACATGTCTAGAGTCATTCTCTCCATGTTATGGCCACTGCCCTAATATAGGACATTTGGTACATCCTCATACCAATGTGTAGTTTTGTGTAGACTCATCTTTAGGATCTGGTGAAACCTCAGGGTGGTGTAGCATGGGCAAAGGGTGGTGTAAACTTTGAAAGAACATGTTTAATATTATAACCTATATTTATAAAATGAAAATAAATCCCCCCTCCCCTTTTTTGTCTTTTTGAGACAGGGTCTCCCTGTAGCCCCAGCTGGCCTGGAACTCACTATGTAGACCAGGCTGACCTCAAACTCACAGATATATACCTGCCTCTTTCTCTCAAGTGTTAGGATTAAAAGCATGTGCCCTTTTTGTAGTACATGGAATACATTTCAATAAAATATTTTTTACTTAAGGGCTGTACAAATAACAGAATCTCTTGTGAACAGCAATTCACATTATCAGTGTTGGTATAAATGACCAGCCTTTACTTAATGTTTAATATGTGCTGGGCACAAGATGCTTTACCTCATTTGCTTCATAACAGCCTTGAAAGGTGGGTGGTGTGGCTATCCAGAAAAAAGGAAGCTGAGACACAGAGGCCCAAAGTCACACATCTATCAAGTGATAGAGGTGACCCAGGAAGCCTGGCTCCAGAGCTTTCTGCCACAGCTAGAGGAAGTACAAAGCCTTTGCTGTTTTCCAGAAAGAGATGAGTTAATGGACCCCAGCAAACCTGAACTATAGGGGAGAAAAGCTCCTCCCACCCACCCCCAATCCCAACTGCCAGCAGGAGGGAGTTTTCCTCCATGCTTCTGTGGACACCAGACCTGTGGGATGTTCCAGGTGGTCCCACTTCTTTCACTCCAGAGTATCCTCTCTTTCCTTGGCACTCTCACTTCTGTCCTCCTGAAAAGCATCACCTCAGCGCTATTTCCTCAGGGAGACACTTGATCCTTCACTCAAGGTGGTTTCCCTCCTTGGCAGGAAGCAAAAGTGTTCTTTCACCTACACTAGGCTGTAGGCAGCAAGAGACTCAACCATGCTGTGGAGAGCTAAGTACCTGCATATTCCTTGGTGCCAAGCATGTAGTATGTTGTAAAAATGATCCACTACATAAATTCTCCCAAGTTTAAGCTCAGGCAGCAATAAAAATAAGAGCCACAATTTTTACTATGAATTGTTTTCTGTTGCTCACCCAGAGTTCCCATCCCCAGAACAGCCAGGAAACATTTCCTCTCAAAACATTTTGGGAGCTGGGCATGGCAGCTTGCACCTCTACCCAGTACTCAGGAGTCAGAAGCAGAAGGATTGCTATGAGTTTGAGGCCAGCCTGGGCTACAGTGTGAAACATTGTCTCAAAGATATCAAAAAGATGGGCTGGGGATGTAACTCAGTTGGCAAAGTGCCTGCCTAGCAGTGTCCTGAGTTCCATCTCTAGCACTACATAAAACTAGGGGTGATTCTAGTCTTACAGTCCCAGCACATGGGACTCTTGGGAGGTAGAGGCAGGAGGATCAGAGTTCAAGGTCTTCCTTGACTACATAGCAAGTTTCAGGCCAGCCTGGGTTACCTATCTTTTAAAAAAGATCCAGTTTTTTCACTGTGCTCCAGTACCCAGTGGGAGTCTTTTCTGTTTTGTTTTGTTTGTTTTTTTCCTTCTTCTTTCAGCAGAGGTTTTGATAAGCAAACAGGAAGTTGCTGGTGAGCACTTCCTATCTAGACACTAATGGCAATGGTCAACAGGAAAGGAACAAGGGGAGCTTTCTAGCAGTAGCTGCAGGGAGGGGAGAGTGTCACTTGAGGCTAGACATTTGTGGCTGTGGAGAGACTCAGGCATTCTTGTTTCATTTTCATGTTCCGGGAGGTGACCTACAACAATGGATGGATGAACAGGGAAAGGCCATCGTGATTTCAGTCGGCATCAGAAGGAAAGTCGGTCTCTTTCTTCTTCCAGAAGTATAAGTGCTTTGAAGAAGGCTTTATTTTCCTTTTAGAAGCTTTTTCTCTGAAGCTGCCAGGGTTGTCTGGCTGTGGCTTTCTCCTCCTCATGCCAGGCAGGTGGCCCCCTTTCCTCAGCCACACTACTTCCTTTGCTCTTGTGTTCTGCAGCTGCCCCCAGATGGTCGGTGTGGCAGATGGACTAATACCTGAAGGCGTCTGGTTCCGTCAGCCCCATCCTTGCCATACTGGTATCCTTCTGATCAGCTCCTTGCCTGTAAGGCTTCCTTGGCTGGTGGAGACTGACTCCTGACAGTTACCCCTGTGGCATGGGGATACTTCGGCTTATTGTTCCCAGGACTTAAAACCTTTAAGGTGCCATTTACTGCTGGGAAGTGTTGACATAGCTTTGGGCTTGCTGACTTCATCAGTGCCCAGTGAAGCACTTGAGTTGGGACAGAAATGCTGGCTTTGGAAAACCACTATGACCAGAAAGCCCTTACTAGCCATGTGGGATGGATGAAGGTCAGCACAGCAAAATGAAGGTTATGCAACATACGGCAGCAGTTTCCTTTTGAGAGAGTCTCCTTAAGCCTCTTTAAGAAAAATTTGAAACCTCCTGCTACATTATATCAGACCCCAAAACTCAAGGCTCTACACTGAAGGGAGTTTGTTGCCATTTTAAGGTAGCACTTTGTCCCCTGCAAGTGTAGGATTCTAGGAGCTCACAGCAGAAGTCTCAAGGTCAGAGCCCACGTACATACTTCCCCTTCCAGGTACCGGCAGATGTGGAGAAGTGTCAGGATCGGATGGAGTGCTTCAATGCTGACCTGAAGGCCGACATGGAGAGGTGGCAGAACAACAAACGGCAGGACTTCCGGCAGCTGCTCATGGGGTTGGCTGACAAGAACATCCAGTATTATGAGAAGGTAAGGAGCAGGATCCTCACAACTGTGGTTTCTAGTATCCAGGGTCTTCCAGACATCCCAGAGCATAATCCTGCTTGTCCCATCCTTTACTTGCCTAGTTTTGAGGCCCCCTGCACACCCTTGCCTCGCTGTGCCAAGTTTGGAAGCAGAGGCCCAGCTCTCACAGGCTTCTGTGCACACTGCTGGAGGAAGTGGGAGTCTTATTCCCATGCTCTGGTCTGGGCAGCTGTTGCTTCTCAGAGCTGGTGAGACCAGCACATGGGTATCAGCTAACAAAGCTTTTGGGTCACTTTATGGTGCCTTGTGGTTCCACATAAGGGGTTCTTTACTTTCATTGTACTATGAACCCCAGTAGTTGTCTTGTAAAGCCCTATCAAAATGCTGTTTATTTTTAATACTAGACTTTAAAATACTGTCTTTAAATACCCAAAGTAAAGATATAGGGAGTTATAAAGGAAAGCTGTTCTATTAAAAAGAATTTTTATTTATGGATCCCTCAAGTTAAGTGCAGACCCTCCCCTATAACACTATAAAACACACACACACACACACACACACACACACACACACACACACGTCTCCTTAAATCAAGGTTTGCTCCCAGTGTATCCAATTCTAAGTCCTTTCTGCTAAAGAGTCCTGATGTCTGTAAAGCCCAAATTTACAGATAAAGAATGGCCCAATGATAGTTGAAATAACTTGTGGGCTTGAAATTCAGCTGTTAGAAAGAAGGCAGCCTCTCAGCATGTGCACAGATGTATCTCCTACACCATAGTCCTAATCCTAGGCTAAAGGGATCTTTTTGAGGCCTTTGATTGGTTCTGGCTGTTGCTCTGAGGTAGTGGGCCTGGACCTTTCCCAGTTCACTAGAGGAGGGTTAAGAAAACAGAACAGAAAGTAGGGGAAAGGTGGCCACCATCCCTCCCTGCCATTTCTCTGGAGCCCCTTGTGGTGGTTCTGAGCAGGTTTTGTCCTTGATGCTTCACATGTGTCAGCGCATTAGATTTAACTCTCTATCACCGTCAAGAGGGTTTTATGATGTTCACTTTGAAGCTGAAGAACACACACTCTGCCTATGTGACCTGGCCTGTGTATACCCGAACTGTGGATTTCTAACTGATGGAGCCATAATCTGGATGGTCCCCACACAGAGTCAGCCTAGGGGATAGGGACCATATATGCTTGGGAACAGCCCTCCCTCCTCCAAGGTAGGCAGATTTTCCCCCATGTGAAGTGAGGGCCTCCATCAAGTGCTGATTGTATGTTAGGCAAGGTCCCTGCCTGTACCTTTGTTTTTTCATCTGTAAAATGGTAATACTTCTCCATGGACTGATCATGAAAATACAGCGAAAATGCACATGTGAGTTCCCAGAATGTACCCAGCACATGGTAGGCACTCAGTAGAGGTTATTCCTTCCTTGACATGCTCACTTTCTCTGTGCTGTTTAGTGGACTTCTCAGTCCAATACCAGCCAGATCCAAAGTTTCCTCATGCCTCTTGTGAATGAATCCCAGCATCCCCAAAGCCCTAGGACACAAACTGAACCATAAACAGTGTCACTGTCTTGGGTCCTGCTCTTGGCTTCTACATATATTTGGTAATATTTTGTGTGTGTGTGTGTGTGTGTGTGTGTGTGTGTGTACTCGTGTGCATGGAATTGTGTATACAAAGTTGATAAACAGCAGGATTTGTTCAACCCTCTAGGTACCCTCAGTCCATCAGAGGAGATGCATTAATGACAGAATTCCAAAAGTAAGAATAGAATAAGTATGCTAAAAGGAAAGCAACAAGGAGAAAATCCTAGAGGCCAAGTGGAGTGAGCAGATCTTTCCATGGAAATAACATTTATTCTGAGCCGTAGAGTCAAATATACGACAAACTGTGTGGATAGAGCTGTGTATGCAAGGGCCCTGAGGAAGGGGAAAGGGTTTGGCATATTTAGGGACTGAAAAGAAAGCTAATCAGCCTTGATCCCTCTTGGACAATGTAGAAAGACCCTTCTAGATATGAGGAGATGACCTAGGACTCAGAATACCATGGGCCTCACTCTGGGTCACTTGCTGGAAGCAAACTCCTTGAGGCCTCTGGTCCTTCCTTAAATAGGACAGGCTCTTTACCCTGGTTTCTTTGTCAGCCTCAGAGTCACCAAGGAAGGAATCAGGAAACAGTTTCCTCATGCTTGACCTGGTGATGCCTCTCTCCTCCCATCGCTGCTGAACTCCTGTCCAAGTGACTCAGCACAGTCCTCCTTCACCTCAAGGCTGCTTCCTTAGAAGGCTTAATGCAGTGGACTTGTCCTTGCCTTTTGCACAAGGCTGCTCACAGAAGAGAGAGGGGAGGGCTGTGTTTGCTGAGCAGACTGCTCTCAGTGGCAGTGGCAGAGTCTTCTGAGTTCCTGGCCTGTCATAAGGATCTGGAATTTTGAAAGAGCTTGTAGTGGAAAGAATATCAGTTTGCATTCATGTTCTAACCATGAACCATGTTATAAGATAAAATTCATTACAGTATATGGGCATGATAAAACTCAGTTGTTGGGTTGGAGAGATGGGTAAAGGCACTTGCTGCCAAACCTAATGACCTGAGTTTGATCCCTGGAACCCACATCATGGAAGGAGAGAACCAACTCCCAAAAGTTGTCCTCTGACCTCCACATGTGTGCCATGGCACCTGTGTCCCCCAATATATACACAATAAATACATGTAAAAATTCTTAGGCTCCCTTCCTCCATTCTTTCTTTTGGGAGTTCTAGGAGTAACCCAAATAAGCGAATAGTATCTTGGCAAATAAGAGTGGGTTTTCCACCCACTCTGACTCAGACATCTGGCCCTTCTTGTTTACATCCTTGTGCAAGCCCCACCCATACTTTGAACAATGTCTTCATCCATCCTCAGAGCCTGTCCTCATCAAGAGCTCCCTGCCTGGTTTGGTTTTGCTTTGTGAAGAGAAAAGGTTTTCTTTGAGTGGGTCCATGTCCACTCACTTGGGTGTGAGCCTCAGGTACTAGCACAAATGCATGCAAGTCTCGTACAGTTACTGTTATCTTTCATAAAAATGGGGTAACACATTCCAGTCAAATACCTGTCACCTCCCCTGTTGATGATAGTATGGATAACACATACTGATACCACTAGACCAAAGTGATTGTGCAGAATTGACAAAGTAGAGCAGCATTAAGCAACTGACCTTGAACCCTGAAAGTTGATGTTGATACTATGAATGTTGTCGTTTCAGTGCCTCATGGCGTGGGAGTCAATTATTCCGCTGCTGCAAGAGAAGCAGGAGCCTAAGTAGATTTCTACTTGGAACAGAGACTCTTCAACCTACCTACACGGGGCATGGCTCCCTGAACTAGAGTGTCCCTGCGGTACAGAAAGGGTGGGAAAACAGCACAGCAACACCTCACCTTTGTGTACTTCTCCTGCCCCTTCTCCCCTCAGTTGTTTTCAATTAGTATTTATTCTTTGGTGGCATTTGTGAGGCTATAATCATCTCAGCAGAAGAAGCATACCTCCATTCTGTGAAGGAACCTTCTAAATGGAACACTACAAAGACTTGAAACTGAGGGACAGGACAACGCCCCGCTGACATTGTGCCATCACTTTGGGGACAGCCAAGTTGCCTGTTGTGGGACAGAACTCAGGTCCCACTTTTCAAGACCACGCGGAGGCATGAAGAAGGCAGCTGTGGCTTGTTGTGGAGACCTTGCGGCTCTGCGCTTGACCCCTGTGGGCATTGACCTGTTCTAGCCTAGAAGGAGGTGTGGGCAGCTCCCTAAAATGTCCTTAATTTAAGTGGCCTGTGACTGTGAGTGTGGCCTGCTGCCTGCTTGTGATGAGTGGTGTATGTTTTCTTGTTTCTGGTCCACTTGGGGCCACTTAAGTCAGCGTCTATACGCATTGTGCTTGAGTGAGCAAGCTGGCGTCCTTGTCTTTCCGTGATGCCTCAGGAAGCTGAGGGGACCACTCCCAGATCTTGTTTCTGACATCAGAATGCAATAGACAAGAAGCTTTTTTGTGTAAACTGAAAAAAGGTGCATTTTTCTCTGTGAAGGTCTTAGTGTGTTTGTTTTGCTTGTTAATTGGCATTAGACCTATTAGGAATAGCTGTTGTTTCGTAGTCAGAGTAGCTCCCCTGTGGTTGAGATTGGTGGGTTTGTACCAATCCCCAGTTCTGGTGTCTGCTTTGTGCAATTTGCCTTTACCTCACAAAAATACCCAGTTTGATACTTCCTACTGAGTCCACTGAATGCTTGGGAAACCTTGCAGTGCAAGGGCTGGTATGTCTCATTATTATGACCGTGAAAATTTGTAAACTCAATGTGAATGTTCTACTACATAAGTGCTTTAACCCTCAAAATTTTTTGGTCAAGAAGAAAAGTCCCTGCAGGGGCCTCAGAGATGAGAATAGCAGCAGCAGGCTCTTTGCTGTTTTTTGTTTGCTCTGGGTGTGTGGAAATATCCATGTGCAGCCAAAATCCTGGGGACTATTTATTGGCTGTGTTTAAGGTCTTCATTTCAAACTATTAGAAGGCTGACTTTTCAAATTGCCATGAAACCACCAGTTAAAAAGGATCCCTTCTAGCTTACTGTTCTTCCTGACAAGAAGCTACGTAGTTGTGTTCTTTCATCTGTAGCTCTTTCACAAATCTGAGCCTGAAATAAATGGTAGAAGTCTTTTGTTTGTTTTCAAGATGAAGCAGTCCAGGCACGACTCATATGCAGGCAAACCTGCAAATTTCACTCAGCCCACAGCATGCTGAAGTCACCGCATCATTCCATTCCAGGGCAGCTGCAGCTGAGACATGGTGGGGTAGCAACTGGACATCATGCAACAATTTGGGTTTTTCATCACATTTGACAAGGTTGTAGTTGATGATAATTCCTGTATCCATCAGTACTTGCCTGTACTGCTACACCCCCCATCTTTGCCATCCTAAAACCCTTTGATGTAAGGCTGGGCATAATGGTGCATGCCTTTAATCCCAGCGCTCAGGAGGCAGAGACAGATCTCTGAGTTCAAGGCCAGCCTGGTCTACATAGTTCCAGGCCAGCTGGGGCTACAGAGAGACCTTATCTCAAAAAAAAAAAAATCCTTTTGATGTGAATTTTGTTTGGTACAAGTAGAAACAACTCACTGAAGCAGAAGGGCAAGAACAGTCCGTGCTCTCCAGCTCTAGTGACTCAGGGTCTCATTCTACCTCCAACCTGTTGGGTTAGTGTGGGTGTAGGTGTCCGGAGCCAACATTAGTGAATCCAGGCCAGCTGGGGCTACAGAGAGACCTTATCTCAAAAAAAAAAAAAAATCCTTTTGATGTGAATTTTGTTTGGTACAAGTAGAAACAACTCACTGAAGCAGAAGGGCAAGAACAGTCCGTGCTCTCCAGCTCTAGTGACTCAGGGTCTCATTCTACCTCCAACCTGTTGGGTTAGTGTGGGTGTAGGTGTCCGGAGCCAACCTGAGCATGTAAGTAGAGTTGGGTGTGTATCTAGTCACCAACAGGCCTCAATTGATGTCAGAAGACATTAGGCTGGTCCAGAAGTGAATGTTCATTTTTGGAACACATGAAGCTTTGGACCAGTGCCCAGTGTAATGATGCTTGGGAAGGTGGGATTTGATGACCAGCTAAGTTGCTGAGGCCCAGAGGCATTCCTGTGTACTGGTTAGCTAGGAAATAAGGCAGCCCTTCAAAAACAGCAGCAGGCTGCTCTCTAGGAGATATAGGGAAGGAACAGTCCACACTCATTCCCTCATCACAAGAGGAAGAACACTGGCTCTGAAGGAATCTTAAGATTTTTGTCTTGCTCTATTTATTTAGTCTACAAATGAGGTCTCTGAGCTTTGAGATTCCAGAAAACTGGAAAAATACAGACTCTCTTTCCTCTGGGAATGATGTGGCAGGGCCAGGAAAACCCATGTACATTACCGACTTCCTTGGAGAAATGGCCCTTCCCGAGAAGACACTTTTGTTCCTGTCCTCAGGATGACATCTAATGAGCCGAGGAAGCTGGTTCAGGGGGAAAGAAGGGGCCATTAGGCAGTGAAGGAGACTCTCCAGCCCTCCACATTCCCATGGTCCCTTCATTCCCATGAAGCTCAGCATTCCCAGGCACTTGCCTCTTAGCTAAGCACAAAAGAGATTCCCTACAGGAAGCATAACTCAGAGACTGCAGTGCCAAAGATGCTCAGAGAGGCTTTCTCACCTCCTGGAGCCCACAGTCTCTGTCCTCAAATCGTGCACCCCTCTCATTTTCCATGAGACTCTGGCTTGAGGTTTCACTGTTCCTCTGACAGAGGGACACAGATCAGTTTGAGGCTTGAGCACATGGCAGTGAAATGGAAAGTTGGCCCTAGCAAATGCTCAGGTTTTGAGAATGAAAAGGTTCTTTCACTGACTTAGAGATCCAAGTGAAGGCAGTAAAGAGAATTCTTAGAAACTGAGGAGATTTGAGAAATGTGATATTTAAGAGAGTTGTGGTTTGTAGCAGGATTGGACACTGTTCATGTTGGGGATTTGTGAGAAGACTCTGGGCTGCTCTTCTCAAAGTAAGCAGTAGCTCCAAAGTGAGGAGGGAGTGTACTACTCAGCCCTGTGAAGGGTTGGATTTTATCCTTTCACAAGACTTAATTGCTGGTCAGTGGTTAGGGAGGCATGGTACTTCACCAAGCTGGTCCTGAACTTACCAGACATCTTTCCATAGCCACAATAACAAAACCCATGACTGGGAATGGAAATGGAATGTAAGATAAGTCTGTTTTTCCTGCCAAATTTGAGCTCCATGGAGTATGCTATAGATGTTGGATGGAACATGTTTCCCCAGTTGCCATGTAGCGTGAGGAATCTATATATTCATGCTTATTGTAGCTGCCTTTACTGAGAACTTGACCAGAAGCTCTGCTTTAGAAGTGGGCATGATGGTAGTCTCAAGTAAAGTTTCTCTCTTCTTAGGACCACAACCTAAGGAACACTCTGATTGTGTGTTTTGATCCTGTCTCATAGCATTGAAACCCTAGGTAGCTGCTTCTGTTTTGATGAGGTTATTTGGACTACGGGAGAGTCATTCTCCACTATGCTGAGCTGGTTGGGCTGACTAGAGCAAGTTCAAGAGCAACCTCAGAGGCTGGGTTGGCCTCGCTGGTTTGGTCTTGGGGTAGGCTGGAACTAGGCTCTTCTCTGGTTAGATCAAGCCATTGGCTACCCTGAAGGGTGATTCCTCCCAGAGGATCAGCTGCCTGTGGCTGGGGTAGGGCGCACTCTTCTGGACCCTATGTCTTCATATGCCTATTAATTATATAACCGAGTAACTTTGATCATCTTCATTTACAAGATGATACTGGAAATTTGGAGTTTTCATTTTCAAAAGTCCTCAAGATGGCAACAGATCTGATCCCCCTCTCACCGCTTGTTTTTCTCTACTCAGATGCTGGTGACGCTTAGCAGTATGTTTGAGGAAAATGTCTTCTCCTTGGCCAAACACCTGGTCTGTTGGAGCTGCTCTCTGTCTTGTTTTAAATTTAATGAATAATCAGGAACTTAGTTTTACACCAACACACTCTATAGGTTGCCACTGTTTCATTTTAAAGAGGTCTGGTGTGCCCATGGTTACACACAGCAGAGTGCAGGGGCTGTCTGTGTCCAGGAAGGTTGGGGTGAGGCCTCTGGTACAGCAGTGGACTGTTCTCTCTTAATCGTGTCTGTTTGAAATATGTCCTGGGTACGACTGTCCAAACCCTTTATGTGTGGCAGAAGAATATACTATCAAAGTTTTTACTACTGCAGTTTGTAAATAAGTGCTGTGAAAAGGTAACTTTTCATAAACCAATAAGTGATGTCTCATATCGATGTATTTAGCACTTGAAAACCAACAAGTACAGAATTTTTTAAAAAGTCACAGACTGTTAAAAGCCTAATTATATTTCTTAAATATTTATCAGTACCTACTAATTGCCTTAACTCTTCAACTAGTGTTTTTAAATTTTGAGTAAAAAGAGTTTTAGGTATGTAAGCAGTTATTCAGCTTAAGTTATAGAATTTTAACATATCAATCATCAGTCCTCTTAAAGTAACAAGCCAGGAGGCGAGGGCCATGTAAGTAGAGTGGCCTTTTGGGAGGAGAGACTTAAATATTGCTAGTGCCAAATGATATTTTAATAATGTAAGGAAACAAGGACCACAGTACCTTTTGTTTTCAAGCATGAAAGGTTATTTAGTGCCTTTCAGCATACTTCTGATTGTAGAGGGTACGACACTGACAAATCAAATAGGTACAAAGAACTTTCTAGGTTATGGCAGTATTAAAGGTTTACCCTGAGTCTGCAGAAAAGCCTTTTCAGAGTCTATGTGGGGCCTCAGAGCACATTTTGGATGGAAATTCTCTAAAGCTCGGAATGCCTAAAAGCAAAACCTATTCTGTCGACTCACACAATTGAGTCCATTTTAGCAAAGCTCATTCTCACTGTTAAAGCTAGTGCTGAAAGTTGCATATGTGCCTCTCCCAGAAGTACCGCCCCAGCACTGGGTGATTCTGGGATCTCCACAGTCTAGGTCAGCAGCAGCCAACACCTGTGCACACTCCTTTTGGACAGGCTGGTTCACAGCCTTAGACCAACATTCAAGTCAGCAGTGATGCTGGCGAGAAGAATGAATGACTTTTTCCTAGACTGTAAGCCAAAATGAGAATCAGAATAAGAAAGCAGTGGCTGTCAGCCAGGCCTTCATCCAAGAACAAACCAGCATCTTTTACCAGTCAGCACTGTCTACATGGACACTGCCGAGGTTCGGTCCTGTCCCACAGAATCCCTGTTCGTTGTCTGTGTGCCTGCTCCCTTCATCTCTGTGAGTTAGGAATGTGTGGCAAGATGGCCTACTGCTGAGAGACTCTCATGAAACAAACTGCCAGCAAACTTTCTAACTCATATTTTAACTGTTCAAGAAGGGATTAAAATTCTTACTTGGGGCATGTCCAAATTATGGGCTGTTTCTTACTTTTTAGAAATTGTTCTTTACGTTTAAAATTTTTGAAGAGAAAGATGCAGCCTTCTGAGGTATTGACGGGTCTTCTGTGTGTGTGCTTTCTCTCTATGCTGCAGTTAAGCCAAAACAAAAGCTGTGAAAATAAAGTGCTTGAGAGGATGTGTGTTGATATGAAAGTGATTTATTTACACATCAAAGTCTGTCTCATGAAACTACCAAATGCTAAAAAGAGTGTCACCTCTTTTTCTTTGTTATGGAATCAGAGATTATAAAAAGGAAAAAAGAGTTGTTTTGTTGTATTTTTGATGCTGGCACGAGGTTTTTGTCCACTTTTGGTTTTGTGTATCTATGTATAAAAATTCTGTTTACTGTTTACTATGAGATTAGTATTACATTTTGAGGTAAACAAAGAATTTGTATTGCTTGATAGACTATTAGCTTGTAAATTTTAAAAATTTCTTTACCTCAATTAACTTAATGGACCAATAAACCTATAAAAGATGCTTTCTTTATCCTGAGTCATGTTCTGATTTTTACCTCTTAGTAGCAAAGGAAAACGTGGGCCCCTCTCTGTTTTCTTATTTACCCTGAACAGATGATAATTTGCCTGAAAAAATTAGAATATGCAGAACAACAGGAAGGAGATGTACGTACGTGAACTATTTTTATTCATTTCTTTATAGGTCCTACCTCATTTACCCTCTCCTTTGTCTTACAAGTTAGCACTAATTTAGGGACATGAAACTACTACAGCATTGCAGTTGACTGGCAGGCTGACAGGAGGCTCAGGTGTTACACAGAGTTCTTCCTGAACCAAATAGTAGCAAAACATACAATCTGGGTCAGGGTCAGTCAGTCATGCCTAGCTTTTGTGTATGTGTATGTGTATGTGTATGTGTATGTGTATGTGTATGTGTATGTGTATATGTCAGTGTTTGTTTTACTGCTGTGATGTTTTTGAGGCATTTCCAAGAGAAGGAATGTCCATTGTTTATTAGAGTATGTTACAAAGTAGAGGCCAGAGTTCTCTGTTAAATTGCCTAATGATGGTAAGGCATTGAAAATGGATTTAATAATGGTGCTGAACTTTGCCTACCGGTAAAAAGACATTAACACTGCAGTCATAAAATGGGCGGCAAGATGGAAGGAGGAGATTTGCGGTCGAATGTCAGTCTTCTTGCTTAATAATTGTGGCTCTAGGCTAGTTATATGTCTGAACTTTGAATGTTATGATCTTTGAAGTAAAGGCAAGCTTTCCCTATAGGGCTCTTGGCAAGCCAAGTAATTAGGCATACAAACACCTGTCCGTGGACATGTGCTATGATAGCTCTAATGGGATGACTTTTCCTATTCCTTGTTTAAATATATCTAAGTTAAATACTAAGGCGTGATCTTTTGTGGTATGCTTTGCCAGTTGATTTTTTAAAAATATTTTTTATTATTATTTTATGTGTATGAGTGTATTGCCTGCATGTATGTAAGTGCACCCGAGTCATGCAGTGCCCACAGAGGTCAGAAGACAGTGTTGGATCCCCTGGAACTGGAGTTAAGATGGCTGTTAGCCACCATGTGGGTGCTGGGAATTGAACCCAAGTCCTCTGCAAGAGCAGCCAGTGCTCTTAACCACTGAGCCATCTCTCCAGTCCACCAGTTGATTTTTTTTAAAGCAGGAAAGAACTTTCTTCCTTTTAAAAAAGACATGAAGATCATCAGATGGATGCTGGAGGACTGGGGTCAGACTGAAGACCTAGAGAACTAGATAGTAGATTGTAAAAATCATGGCAAGGGCTGGTGAGATGGCTCAGTGGGTAAAGGCACTTAACACCAAACCTGACGATCTGAGTTCAGTCCCTAGGGACCCACAAGATGTAAGGAGAGAACCAACCTGCAAGTTGTCCTCTGACCTCTACATGTGTGTTGTGACACACATGCCTCCCCCCAACAAAATTAATTTTGAAACTGTTTCTAAAGCCATGGCAAGTGATAAAGGGGAGGAGGCTGGAATGAGCAGCTGGATTTAAGAGAGAATTGTGGAAAAGAGGAATAGGTCAGTGGTGATTTTATTAAATCAGTCGGGAGAGAGAAAAGATGCAGTGAAGTTAAATGGTGAGTGGGCAAAGAGTATTGTGATTTGGATTATCTTTGGAGAGATGCAGGTGTTGACTTGGATGTTGGAAAGAATTTTTGGGGTCTGTGGGAATAGACCAGCTTATTGGAGAATCAATGACGGGGCCTTTGAGACCTTAAGAGTTAAGGAGTCGCTGGGCGTGGTGGCTCACGCCTTTAATCCCAGCATTCAGGAGGCAGAGGCAAATGGATCTCTGTGAGTTCAAGGCCAGCCTGGTCTACATAGTGAGTTCCAGGTCAGCTGGGGCTACAGGGAGGAGACCCTGTCTCAAAAAGACCAAAAAAAAAAAAAAAAAAAGGAGTGAAGAAGGGCAGAGGAGGAAGAGGATGCAGGGCAGGTCCTTAAGGTTGGGAGGAGGAGGAGGAATAGGTGAAGAACAGGCTAGTGGTGGTTCATAAACTCAAGAGTTTACAAAGTCATTCTTGAGGCAGGTTTGGGGTGAGATCCCACACTGCATCTCCAACAGATTCCCTGGGGATGCTGATTCTCTGTTGGCCCAAGAACCACCATGTTAGAGCATCTGATATTAGAAGTGTGACCTGGGAACAGCTGAAAGAGTTTGAAGCTGGAACTCTGATGATGGGTGGGCTTGGTAAAGAGTCAGAACTGTACTGGAGCTTTCAGAGCCCCACTCAGGTTAAAAGCCAGAAGCTTGCCAGACAGGAGAAACCTTCCTTTGAGTTGTTGGTCAGGGTAGCCCAAGAGAACCCCAAAGTAACACAGGCTTTTACCACAGCCCTTGATTGCTTCCCAGAACTTGAAAGTAAGACTGTTGCTGAAGGCAGGATATACTTTGGGCACAGGACTTTGAGCGGTGTATCTGGAACTGCCTTGGAAGCCTCCTCCCTGAAGAGTAGCTCTCATAGTTTTGGAGGACACTATGTAAGCTGCTAAAGGAGAAAATCAATCAGTGATCCAACCCCAGGTGTAAAGCCTAATAACCACAATAACGACCAGCACAGCAAACTCTCTGTTGGTACAGTAGTGGCACTTTTATCTTGGGGGCTAGTCAACATCTAATTGAACTTAAATTGCCTCAATGGGAGGGAACTCATATATGGTACTGTAACCATAGGCTGGAGAGATCATAGATCCTAGAGAAAACCCTACCTCTGTCACCAAATGCAATTTCTTACTATATGCTAAATATATACCCTTATATTTAGAGACAAGTACGCCTGTCACCACTCATCAAAGAAGCTTCTTTTTCCAATAGATGGGGACTGTTACAGAGTTCCACAACTGGTCAAATGCAGAGAATAAGTGTCTGTGAGATGCCCAGCCTTATGTGACACAGCTACAATGGAATGTCTACACATAAGGCTCATGGACCATAGTGGAACAAGGGGTAGAAAGAATAGTAATGCATCTCTCAGTTCCCACCAGTGAAGCTTCCTTATGCAATAGAGAGCGATTAAACACAGAAAGCCATAACTGGCCAAAATGTAGAGAATAAGAGACTTCAGAGTGTGTGTCCCTGGATAGGACTCCTGTATCAAACCTCTGCCACTCAGGGCTCAGAAACCATTGAGGAAGAGGAGAGGAAAGACCATTAAGAGCCAGGGGGGTAATGAATGACCACAAGGAAACAGTTTTTCAGGTCACTGGAAACCTGCTCATATGAATTTACAGCAATGATGACAGCATACACAAGACCCATGCAAACTCAAACCAGACAAAAATTCAGCATAGAACTGGGGAAATGGGTAAGAATCTCCAACCTCAGCTGAGGGACTATTGGCAGCTGATCACTGCTGGGTGAGGGAAAGTTGGTCTTCTTTAAGGGAGAGACTGGATAGGCTGACTAGGCTTCAGTGAATGAACTCAAACCAAGGGACATCTGGGGACAAAACCTTGACTCAATAGGTTTTAACATATATAACAGAATGCATGAAATCCAGTGTGGGGGGCTTATGGGGGATGTGGATGGGGGAGGGGGTCTAAATATGATTAAGATGTATGAACTGCACAAAAAATCAATAAAAATGTATATTGAAAATAACCCACGTGCTTGCCAGATGTGGTGGCTCACACCTATAATCCTAGCAGGTGTAATCCTGAGGCAGGAGGCTTACTACAAGATGGAAGACACCTTGGGCTATGTAGTTCCAGGTTAGTCTTGGCTACTTTGTATGAGCTTATGGCAGGTTGAATGTGGACAGATGCAGAAATGTCTCCAGCTGTTAAGATCAGGTTCTTAGCTCAGGCTCAGAAGACCATCCATTTCATTCTGCTTGGGGAACTAACTGGTCAAGGAGCTGGCTAGAAGGCAAGGAGTCAAGAGGATTGTGCACCCTGGTGAATTTGGAGAAGTTAAGCCTGGCCCAGAGTTTATCTTTCCTGTCACACCAGCCCTACTTATATTGTCTCTCTCATGGCCTCTATCTCCTTTTCTGTTGCTTAGACCCAAATTTGATGGACTCTTGCTTCCATCTGCCTCACCCTGTACAGTCCATCACCAAATCTTTGCTGATCCTCTAGCTCCCAAGTATTTTTCCACATTCATCTATTTTTCTAACTGCTCATAGCTGCTTTCTGTGTGTGTGTGCATGTATACATGTATATATGTGTATGTGTGTATAGGGGTGCACATGTGTGTGTGTTGCATAGAGGCTCAAAGATGAAGTATTAGTTACTTTTCTGTTGCTGTGATAAGACACCATGACCAAGGCAACTTATAGAAGGAAGAGTTTATTTGGCTTACAATTCCAGAGAGATTAGAGTTCATGATGGCAGGGGAGGCATGGCGCAGAGGTGGCTGGAGCTAAGCAATTGCATCTTCAAGCAGGTACAGGATGCAGAAAGTGACTGGAAATCTGGCAAGGCTTAAGAAATCTCAAAGCTCTTGCCCCCAGTGACATGTTTTCTCCAGCTTGACCACACCTTCAAAGCCCTCCCAAAACATCACCACCAACTGGAGACAAAATGTCCAAGTACTTGGAGCCTATGGGGGACATTCACATTCAAACCATCACATCAGGTGTCTTCTTCAATTGTTTCCCACTTAATTTTTTGAGGAAGCGTCATTCAGTTGAACCCAGAGTACAATGGCTGGCTAATCTCACGAGCCACCCTACTTCAGGGATCCTGTCTCTGAGTACTGGGATTACAAGTAGCCACTACACCTGCCCAGATTTTCATATGAGTTCTAGGGATCCAAACTCTGGTCCTCACACTTGTGTGGCAAGCACTTTATCCAGTGAGCCATCTCCCTACCCAGCTCATAGCTTCTTAATCTGTCAATTCACCACCATCCTTCACCCACAGCATCTCTTAGGTTGCCTTCTTTTCTCCACATCATGCTTCTGGAGTGCTATAACAAGCAAACATAGACACTACATTCCTGCTCAAATCCTTTCACCAGCTACCCTGTTACTCTCTCAGGAACCATTTGTGTTCCTTTGCTCTTTCATGCTGCTCCTCCTCACTGAACCATCTTATCTCTATACCATTATCCTGGATACTGTCCTCTCCCTCCTGGGCTCCCTTCACATGAATTCTGTGTCTTGGGAAATGTTCCCATTCAGGTGGACTCTCCAGTGTATTGTTCCTTCTGCCTGGACTGTCCTCCAACATCCAATCTTGGTATCTCCTCATCCGGTCATATCATATATGCCACTTCTGGGGAACTTTCTGTTTTCCCAACTCTGGGTTATATGCTCCTTTATGGTAGCTCTTACTATAGGAAGCATGTCTGCTCTTCCTGAGCTCCACCTGTGACACATATGGTATATTAGTACAGGAATCTGCAGGCTCTGCACTCCCTGTTTCTATACCTGGGGTCTCCAGGACCATAGTAGATATAAGCTTTTGATCATTTCCTACAAGATTAGATACAAACTCTGCCCAAATGCCCTGACATTTGAAAACCTTCCATGCCTGTAGTTACAGGGACATCTAACCTGATTTTATTAGGTGAATCTTCTTGTAAGTAAAACAGTTAAAAGAAGTAACTCAAAATAAGTTGGCTCTTTTTTTTTTTTTCTTTTTTTCTTTTTTGAGACAGTAGCTCCAGCTGGCCTGGAACTCACTATGTAGACCAGGCTGGTCTTGAACTCACAGAGATCCACCTGCCTCTGCCTCTTGAGTACTGGGATTAAAGATGAGCACCACCATGCCTGGCATAAGTTGGCTCTTAACATCTGTCCATTCACACCATCCACTTGGGGAAGGGTTAATCAAAAGTATTCAATTGAATGTTTTATTAAGGAAGTCTTTTTATACGTGCTGGGATTATGTTGTTGTTATTGTTGGTTTTGTTGTTTTGTTTGAGGCAGGATCTCATGTATCCCAAGATGGCCTTAGACTGGCTATGTAGCTGAGGATGGCTTTGAACTTCTGATCCTTCTGCCTCTACCTCCCAAGTGCTGGGATTACAGGTATGCACCATCATGCCTGGTTTATGTGATGCTGAAGATCAAATTGGGGCTTCATGTATGCCAGGCAAGCATTCTGGCAACTGAGTTACATCCCTGACACCCCCCACCCCCTACCTTGAGACAGGGTCTCCCTGTAGCCCCAGCTGGCCTGAAACTCACAATGTAGACCAAACTGACCTCACAGAGGTCCACCTGCCTCTGCCTCCTGAGTGCTGGGACTAAAGGCATGTGCCACCAACTTCCTAAAAGCAACAATGACAACGACACTGCACTCTGTTGCTGTTTTGAGCATTTACAGCTATGGAGGACTCACCAAAGAAAACTTACTTTTCAAGATCTTTTTTAAAATTTTTAATTTTTTGATTAATTTTATTTTATGTATATGAGTGTTTTGCCTGCATGTAAGTGCACCATGTGTGTACAGTGCCTTCAGAGACCAGGGGAGGGCATCAGATCCCCTAGAACTGGGGTTACGGATCATTGTTAGACACCATGTAGGTGCTGGGAACTGAACTCAGGTCCTCTGCAAGAGCAGCCAGAGCTCTTAACCCCTGAGCCATCTTTCTAGTACCCTCAAGATCTTATTTTAAATATTGTTCATATAAAACAGTTGTTACTTTTTACAAAATGTCCATTTCACATTAATTCCCCTTGGGCTGGTGAAATGCAGGTCTAAGTTGGACTTACAGTCTAGCACTTATGTGATTTGTGGTTTGTTATCACTGTATTAGAGTCTTAAGACAGTCCTAGAAGAAAGGGACTGGCTGACAGAGTGGAACCTGTACCCCTCCAGAACCTTGGGTACCTATGCTAGCAGTCAACACCCACAGACCCTGTCTGGCAGAGGCATCTGAAAGCTAAAAGAAAATTCTTAAATCACCTGGATAGTGCTTTTCCCCAACCCACCCAATGGCCATAGCAGGTCATTTGGAGGCTGGAACTTGGGTTTCATGGGCAGTGGGTCACTTTGGTCACCAGTTCCCTGATCCCTTCTTTGGTCTTCAAGAGAACCCGGTCACCACTGGTGTTTTCAGCTCCTGAACATCCATCAACTCCTTCATTTCTCTGCCCCGTCTTCATGTTGTGAACATGGGACCTGTTTGTAGGCCACAATGCTGTGAGGATTTGCAACAGAGAGTTATAAGAGGATAGCTGGAATGTGGCAAAGGGTTTGTAGCTTTTCCTCCTTATCTACATCAAGGTCATCTCTTTGTCACTGATGGAGAGAAGGTTATCTCCATTATGGCATCAGAGATGCTAGTGTGAAGGCTATCTCTAGAGGATTTTTCTCCAGATTCTTTCTAGTCTGGTACTAACGAACTTTTCCCTGTTTCCCATAACAGCGCCAGCTTTCTCCTTCATTTTCCTAGCACCTCTTTGCATCTCAGTCCTGCCTGGTGATGAATTCCCATGAGTATCTTGATATAAAGCTATCAGCTAGCTCACATAGCTTTTGAGAGCACTATACAAGCTGATAAGGAAGAGTATCAATTGATGGTCCAACACCAGCTTCCAGACCTAAAAACCACATCAATGACCAGCATAGCAAATGACATTGGTGCAGTAGTGGCACTTTTATCTTGCAGGTAATCAGCAGCTATCTAAATGGACTCAAAACCTATTCAATGGGAGGAAACTCAAATTTAGCCAAATACACATAGCTAGAGAGATCATAGATCTTAGAGAAAACCCCAAGGCTTTCACATCCCTAGACAAATGTGATTTCTTACTATGTGCAAAATACAGATCCCTAAATTTACAGATGAGTATCCCAGTCACCACCCATCAAAGAAGCTTCTTTTTCAACAGACAGAGATTATTACAGAGTTCCAGAACTGGTCACACACAGATTGTCTGTGAATTGCCCAAGCCTAAGTGGCACATCTAGGATGCAACCTCTACACCTAAGCTTACAGAACATGGACACTGGCTGTCTTTATTGCCCCCATCTTACTTTTTAAGATGAGAGTGTCGTGCTGAGTCTGGAGCCCATCAGTTCAGGTAGACTGGCTGGCCAGTGACTCTGAGGTGTTTATGCCCCTCCCAGTGCTGGGGTTACAGATGTGTGCTGCTGCACCTGGCTTTTACATGGGTGCTGGGGATTTGAACTCAAATCTTTATGCTTGAGTAGCACACATTTTACTGACTAAGCAATCTTCACAGCCCCAATTTTTATTCCTTTTTTTTTTTTTTTTTTTTTTTGAGACAGGTCTCATGTAGCCCTGGAGCTTCTGATCCTCCTGCTTTTACTTTCTGAGTGCTGGAATTATAAGGGTACATCACCATTCCTAGTTTTTGAGGTGATGGAGATGTATTCAGGCTTCATGAATACTAGGCAAGCACTCTACCAACCGAGCTACATCCCGAGCCCAAGGTGCCACACTTTTTATTTTGACAGAGCATTCATTCATTAAATGTGTCTCAAGTAATTCTTAGGTACTAGGCTCTCTTCTGGACACAGAGGAAATGTGGAGAGTCACACAGCTGTGATCTCCATCCTCAGCAACCTACAGTCTGGTAGGAAGCATAGCAAATGGATAAACACTGCTGATCATTAACTATTTGCTATTAAGGAAAAATACAGGAGCATATAATAGAAAGACTTCATTTAGACTAAGTGGGAAGGGAAGAGTCTTTGTTTTCTCATCTACAAAGTAGGGACTCAGCGGTTAAGAGCACTGACTGCTCTTGCAGAGGACCCGGGTTCAAGTCCCAGCACCCACATGGCAGCTACAAACCGTCCTTAACTCCAGTTCCAGGGGACTCCGAAGCCCTCTTCTGACCTCCGTGGCATTGCACAACACAGGTGCACTCACATACATGCAGGCAATACACTCATACACATAAAATAAAAATAATAAAATATTTAAAGTATTTGCTATTGCACAAGACCCATGCAAATTTAAGCAGACAAAAACCCAGCACAGAACTGTGGAAATGAACAGTAGGCCCCAGTCTTAGCTGAAGAATTATTGGCAGCTGATTACTGCTGGGTGAGGAAGAGCTGATCTTCTTAAAGGGAGGGACTCTAGATAGGCTGGATGAACTTACACTGAGAGTCATCTGGGGACACTAACTTTACATGACATAAATGACAGAATGTATGAACCCCATGGAAGGGTGCCAAAGGTGAAGGGAATGTAAAGATGATTTTCTGTATGAAATACACAAAAATTAAATAAAAATTTAAAAAAACAATAAAGTTTTTGCTATTACCATTTTTAGAAAGTAAGTATGGGGGACCTGGAGAGATGGTTTAAATGTTAAGAGCACATACTGCTCTTGCAGAGGACTTCAGTTCCCAGCACCCACATCAGGTGGTTCTCAACCACCTGAGACTCCAGCTTCAGGGGATCTGAGGCTTCTGGCCATCTTGTACACTGGCACACGTAGTGCATACCTACCCACAGACACACACATACACTTAATTTAAAATAATTAAATGTTTTTTAAAAAGACCGCCTGGGACAGGTATGAATGCATGTAAGTTTGTAGGCTGGAGAAGATGAAGTCATTCTCTTCCGGAGGCTTCTAATTTCTCAATGCCATACAAAGTATTTGCTGAGTACTTGTGTATCCAAGGGGTATGGAAGATCGTGAAGGCGGAAGAACCTCACAGTGACTTCCTTAGCAGTTCCCTACTGTGTTTAAGAAGAGCAGGCTGGGGGAAGGCAGGTTCTCACTGTGGCATGAAAATGGCTCACTTTGGTTCAGGGAAAGGGCAGGGCCATCTCGCTACCCTGTTACAAGTAGGCTGTTGGAAGCTCTGGCCTAGGGACCTCTCCTGGCATCAAAGAATGGGGAGAAGACAGTCACTGGTCCAGCCGTCTGTCTTCCGTATCCTCTGTTCTGACGTGACTTCCTGGGTTTTTCTATCATTGTAATGTAGCTTTTCCTTCTGTGGTTAAAGAACTCTACTGCTCTTTCCTATTGCTTTTACTAAATGACTGATGGTACAACCTGGCCTCCTCTAGCCAGAAGAGGCTCTCAGGTTCTCACTGAGTGACTTCAGGGAAGGAAAGGTGATGGGAATCGGGCTGCCATACCATACGTTTTCGGTTCTCGCTGCCCATTCGCATGGAGAGCTTTTATAAATTCCTATCCCACGCTATGCCTCAGATCAATGGAGTCTTAGTCTGTGGGGTTGGGATCTGAGAGGAGTTGTTTTGAAATCTTTCCTGGTTATCCAGTGCACAGAGAATCTGGCTTTGTTTGCACATGTATCTCTCTACTGCTAAAGGATGATGGGGGAAGCACTTGGCAGTTACTCGGGTACCTAATCCAACATGAGCATCCAGTTAGCTGCTCATTTTAATGTTTCCAGAGCCCCTCTCTGCTTCTGGGACATAATATCATGACGTTAAGATCTGGTGAAAGGGGGTGGAGCAATGGCTCAGCAGTTAAGAGCACTGACTTCTCTTGCAGAGGACCTCTGTTCAGTTCCCAGTACACACGTGGAAGCCAACAACCATCCACAACTTCAGTTTTAGGGGCTCTAACACCCTATTCTAGACTATGTAGGCATTGCACACATGTGGTACACTTATATACATACAGGAAAAACACTCATACACATAAAATAAAATCAATCACTCAAAAAAGAAAAAAAGATTGGGTTTGAGAGATGGCTCAGTGGTTAAGATCACTGGCTCTTCTTGCAGAGGACCTGGCTTCAATTCCAGTCACCCACATGGCAGCTAACAACCATCTGTAACTCCAATTCCAGGGGATCCAAGATGCCCTGGTCTGACCTCCATGGGCATTGTGAGACACAGGTGCACTTACATACATGCAGGCAATATACTCATACACATAAATAAAAATAATAATAAAAAGATTGATGGGTCATCAGGGCACTTGCCACCAACTCTGGTGACCCAAATTTGATACCTGATAGACCCTGTAAGTTGTCATCTGACTTCCATACATATGTATACACACACACACACACACACACACAGATAAATAAATGTAAAAAATTGTTTAAAAATATCTGTTGTAGAAACAAATGGCGGAGTCCAGGTACATAAAATGAGATGTTTAGAGCATCACACCTGCTTCATGTACCCTCAAATCTCTTAACAAAGGCAAGCCATCCTACTACGCACAACCCAGACCAAACTGTAAAAGGCAGCCATCATTGTTTTCATTGGTCTGTTTATGACTTTAGGCCTACATTGACTAGTTACACTTGTCCTCCCCCCTTTTTTTGGTGTTCGTTTAGGTTAGAGAAACTGTTTTAACCATCAGTGAAAAAACAGGACTTGGTAAAACTACTAATTCATAACTCAATTGGCCAGAGAGCTGGGAGGCCCGGGAAATCTGCATTACATGCTAGCCTTCGCCAGGTCAGTCCAACCCATTCAGCCAGGATTCAGCAGAAGGGCCTAAAGGCTGGAAAGTCCTGTGCACCTTAGGAAACGAGACTTGGTCGTGATCCTCTGCTTGTCTGAATGCCACAGCTATTTAATCTTGTACCTCATTTTCCTCAACTAACAAAGAAAACAAATAGCCTTCATGACTGATGGCTCCTGTCCCAGGAGGTTCAGGAAGACCTATATTATGTGAGGATTCCAAAAAGGGCTTCATCGCTTTTCATCGCTATCCCCTTTTAATCTGCCTTCAATTATTTTCTACTCCACTGCCAGAAATCCTGCCATTACTGATTCTGCCTGGTTGTCAAACTGCTTCCTTTAAGAACACAACAAATCCCTTGTGCCTTGTTCTAATGTAGCCTGTGGATATCCTGAAAGATATATTTCTCTTAAGCTAGAAGCACTGGTACATGAGAGAGCCTCACTTCAGGGGAAGGGGTAAAGGACACGTGGCTAATGAACACTAGTCCAAATTGAATTTACTGTAAGAATTACAATACATAACTGGATTTCAAAGACGGGATTTTTTTTAAAGCAAAATTTCTCATTGCCTAATTGTATAAGTTGATTACATGCTGTGATATTTTGGATTCCAGTTATGTTATTACAGTTATTTTCACCTGTCACTTCACCCTCTTTTTTTTTTCTCTTCAGACAGGGTCTCATGCAGTCTGTACCATGTATTTCCCAAACCCACTATATAGCTCAGGATGAACCTTGAACTTCTGATCCTCATGCCTCTACCTCCTGAGTGCTGGGATTAGAGACATGCACCATCATGTACAATTTATGTAGTAGGAGGGATGGAAGCCAAGTTTCATATGTGCTAGGCAAGCATTCTACCAACTGAACTGCACTGTCGGCTCACCTTTTTGTGATTTTAAAATGTGACTCCTGCCAAGTACAGGGGTGCACATTTGCAATCCCAGCACATGGGAGGCTGAGGTAAGAGGATGCCAAGTTTGAAGCCAGCCTGGGCTTCACAGTGAGATGATCTCTCAAACAACAAACAAAACATGCATGCACACACACACACACACACACACACACACACACACACACACACCACGCCTTTGTGATTCACACTTGTATTTCTATTAAAGACAGAACTATTCCATGCTTTCTTTCTGTTCTGTGATGATCTTGGCTGGTGCCTCACTATGGATCAGTGTGCCTCTCCTTTACTGCTGGGTCTTCCTCCTGCCTGTGATTACCTGGATCTTCCAGCTCTTGTTTCACAAAAGAGACGATCTCCCCACAGAAGGACTTGACCAAGGCCTGTTGAAAGGCTCACCCAGTACAGTGGTCACCTAGCCCCTTTAGGGCACAGAGACGAAAGAGTACTCAGAAGGGACTTGCAGAGGGACTCTTTCCTAAAGGGAGTCAAACCAAAGAGGTTTGAATGGCACAAGGAGTTTCTAACCTGGCCTCTAACTATAAGGAACTATATATAAAAAGTGCATATAAATAAATCATCATTGTAAAACTGCCAGAAAGGAGCCAGACTCTTGGGCCTGTCTGTTCATAACTGTGATTTGGGGGAATCCCCAGATTGCCAGCTTATCAATTTGAAAAAACAGGACAACTATGTGAAAGAGCTTACTCATAAATACTAATAATAAATAATCCTGAGATTGATTTGACCTAACCACTGGAGCCCCAACCCACACAGCAGACTCTGCTTCCGTCTTACCCAATCGGGACAATGGCCAGGAAGGAAAGGAAGGAGGACAGGGCAAAGCAGGTGCCAATGAACTTGTCCATGGTGAGCTGATAGATCCTGTTATACATGGTGGATGTCACTACCCCGGTCAGAGCTAAGGCCAGCTGCAGTATGACGAACACCTTTCCTGTGGAAGGGACAAGACTTACCAAATATGTGCTATTGTCTCTTCTCTGTATCCCCCCACCGAGTCTCTGGGGGAGCTCCAGGAGACCCCTCGCTCTTCTGAAGATGGCTTTTTAGTCTCACAGACCAAGTTGATGAAAATCCTGCCTCCGTCTGGTTGTATCTTCTTGAAGCATCTTTCTTTGAATCTGATTTGCAGTGGTTGACTTTCTTTCTCCCACCCTCTTGTCTTCACTCCTTTTGTGATGCTTCTGGAACTCTGTGTGTGTGTGTGTGTGTGTGTGTGTGTGCGCGTGCGCATGTGGAGGCCAGAGGCTGACACTGGGGATCAACATCAGGAACCTTCCTCAGTCTCTCTCCACCTTATTTTTTGGGACAGTCTCCTACTGAACCTGGAGCTCACTGACTGACTGGCCAAGAATTCCCTCTCTGCCTCTTCAGCTCTGGGATTAAGGCATGTACTGCCACACCCAGCATTTTATGTGAGTGCTCAAGATCCAAACTCAGGAGCTCAGGTTTGCATGGCAAGCACTTTATCAACTGAGCCATCTCCCTAGCCCCACTTCTGGAACTTCTGAGTGTCTTCGGAAAGTCTTTGCCTCATAGCTGAGACAGCCTGGACAGAACATCCCAAAGAGATCCCTCTCACTCACCATAGGAAGAGTCCTTTATGAGTTTGGACATGGCTGATCGGATGGTTGTGATGGGGATGAGTGCAAACAGCATCATGGCTCGAGCTATAAAAGATCACACAGGAGCACTTTTCATTGGAGTCCAGGAGAAAACCAAAACAAAGCAAAAGCTTCTTTTTTAGCCCCTTTCCCTACAACCCTGTGACCTTGACCTGGAATATTTAAAATTCCAATAGACATAAGCCCTTCAGGGAGCAGACTCTGACTGTGAGCTCAGCACTTCAGAAATGTTTTCCATAGTACACTGCCATCCCTTCCTAAAGCATTGTTGATTAGGAGAGGGAAGAAAACGAAGAATAGAGGAG